TATATATATATATATATATATACCTGTGTCCTTGCTATAGCAACATCAGGATCAGTAAGAAGAATAAATGCTGTCTCTGTAGATAGTCCCTCTAAGGAGACAGCAAAAGGGCCTTGTGTCCCTGTCTCCTTTCCTGAGTATATAAGGGAGACAGGGGACGGATCATCAGCAGCAAGGAGACGAAGGACCCTATCTGCTATACAGCAGCATGCTGCTGCAGCAAGGAGACGCTGCGCATCCATAGACCTTGAACTAGGTAAGGAGAAGCAGCAGCAAACTAAATGTCTTGCTGCTGATAGCAGCAAACGCATGCACTCTACTTGCGTGCTGCGGCTTATGCATGCAGAACCCCAAAAACAACGGACACCCGAGCTGCTGCTGCTGCTGCTGCTGCTGCTGCTGTCCAAGGGCAGAGGCACCGGCAACACCTGCAGCACAAATAGCAGCAAAGAGAGCAGCAGGAGCAGTAAGGAGGCACAGTAAAAGGAGACAGAAGCAAAAGGAGACAGCAGACAAAGGAGACAGCAGACAAAGGAGACAGCAAAAGGCGACAGCACTAGAATGAGACTGTAAAAGGAGACAGCAGCAAAAGGAGATAGTTAAGGAGACAGTAAAAGGAGACAGCAGCAAAAGGAGACAGTAAATGGAGACAGTAAAGGGAGACAGCAGCAAAATGAGACAGCTAAGGAGACAGCAGCAAAAGGAGACAGTTAAGGAGACAGCAGCAAAAGGAGACAGTTAAGGAGACAGCAGCAAAAGGAGACAGTTAAGGAGACAGCAGCAAAAGAAGACAGTTAAGGAGACGGCAGCAAAAGGAGACAGTTAAGGAGACAGTAGAAGGAGACAGAAAAAGGAGACAGCAGCAAAAGGAGACAGTTAAGGAGACAGCTAAGGAGACAGTAAAAGGAGACAGCAGCAAAAGGAGACAGAGAGCAGGAAAAGGAGACAGTTGCTTACCTTAAGAAAAAGATGAGAGAGTAATTGGAACCTAAAGGAGTACGAGTGCAGCAAAGTGTCTCTCTGGTTCTCTAATAGGGTGCATGCATGCACTGCTGCTCGTAGGCGCAGCACAGCGTCCTCTATAGAGGATACAGCAGCAGCAGCAGCAGCAAGATCTACAGGCAGCAGCAAACGAGGTAATGGTGCAGCAGATACACCAGGGGGGCCCCCCATGTCTCGTACCCTAAAACTACCAAAGAGAGGGAACTCTAGACACCTATATGGTGTTGCTGCTGCTGCTGCTGCTGCTGCTTCTGCTGCTTCCTTGTCTTCTGCTGTTTCTTTGCTGTCTCCTTCTCCCCCACCACTAGCAGCAGCAGCAGCAGGAGCAGCAGGAGGGGGAGGGGGCCCTAATGCATTAGCTAATACAGATGCATGCAGACTACAGGAACCTTTACCATACCCTCTTGCTGCTAATGATGAATTTGCTGCTATAAGAGACAAAAGAGACAAACTGTCTCCTCTAAAGAGACAGAAGTGCTGCTGCTGCAGCTCCTCCCCTCCTTGGGGTCCGTCTGCCTGTAGCCAGGCACGTAAGGAGGCATACTGCAGCAACTGTCTCCTTGCTGTCTCCACCACTAAACTGCTGCTACGTGATAATGCATAACCCTTCGTCCTCCTCCTCTTGCTGCTGCTCCTGTTGCTGCTGCTCCTGTTGCTGCTGCTGCTGCTGTGTGCAGAGAGACGAGCAGCAAATAGACGACAGAGACTCCACTGCAGCAGCACGTGGCAATTCAGAGCCTCGCTTGCAGTCAGGCCGTGCACCCTGCAGCAGCAACAGCAGCAGCAGCAGCAACAGCAGCACATATGAGGTAAAGAGTTGTTAAGGTAGAAGCAGCAGCAGAAGGGAAACAAAAAAAGGAGACAGTTGCTGCTGCTGCAAAAGGAGACAAAACAGCAGCAGGGAAATGCAGCAGCAGCAAACAAGAAAGGAGACACAAAACAGCTAAAACAACAACAGCAACAGCAGCACCACCACCAACCACCAACAGCAGCAGCAGCAGCAACAGCAGCAGCAGCAGTGTGTATTACCGCAGCAAGAAGTGTAGTGCTGCCTCTGCAGCAACAACAGCACTACCTGTCTCCCTTGGAGAAGGAGACAGTCTCCAATATCCTCCTAATGTTGATGGTTGTGCTGCTGTTATACATCTAGGTAGCTGCTGCTGCTGCTGCTTCTTATCTGCAGCAGCAGCAGCAGAAGCAAGACTAACTATCCCTGTACTTCCTATTCCTGTTGCTGTTTTATTCTTCTGTTGTTTCTGCTGCTGCTGTGTTGTTTTTCCTCCTCCTCCCCCTCCTCCCCCCCCACCTGCTGCTGCTGCTGCTGCAGCAGCAGCAGCAGCAGCAGCAGCAGTAGGAGGAGCGTGCTTATAGAGAAGGGGCCCCACACCCCTAGGACAAGGAGGAGACCCTTGGTCTGGCTCTAGTATCCAATTATGTAATAAGGGTTTACAATTAATATGAGGAATAATTGAGGTGTATAGGCAGCTAATATTTGTTCTTTTTGCATGCAGCAGCAAACGCAGCAAAAAGAACCAAAAAGAAGAATGTAATAAATGTTCTGTATTTATTCCTTCTAATACTAATAAAGCATCACGTAATATACGGCCTGTATACACATATATACATATACATATACATATATACATTTTTATCTACATTTATATGTACGTAAACCCTAAACCCTAAACCCTAAACCCTAATAAACCCTAGAAAACCCTAAACCCTAGTAAATTATAGTAAATTCTAATAATTCTACACACAGTACAAGAGGGAGGAGATAAAAGAGGAACAATATTTATAGGTATATTTTTTCTGTAAACCCTAAACCCTAGGAAACCCTAATAAACCCTAATAAACGCTAAACCCTAGTAAACCCTAAACCCTAAACCCTAAACCCTACCTGGGGAGGGGCATTTCTCTATAGCATATGCATGGTATTCATGACCAAACCCTGAGGTGTTAATAAGGGCAACAGTAAAGTGTCTCCTTCTGCTTGCATGCGTCTCCAAATAGTCTCCTGTGTCTCCTCCTGTAGCACTCCCGCTGCTGCTGCCGTAGCTGCTGCTGCTGCTGCTGCTGCTGCTGCTGCTGTTGCTATCCGGGTGTCTATACACCACAAATAACATGTGCACAGGAGCAACATCATCATCTATACGAACACCAGTTGGGATAAACGCAGCACCTCCAGGGGCCACAGACTTTAACCTGAGCACAAACCCTAAACCCTAAACCCTAAACCCTAGTAAACCCTAAACCCTAATTTAATATACACTTAAGAGGTATTCAGTTGGTGTGCACAGGTCTTCTTTTTTTTGTCTGCATGCATACAGTTGCATGCACACTGTAGGGTTTGTATGTTATAATATATAAAACAATTAGGGTTTAGGGTTTAGGGTTTAGGGTTTAGGGTTTACTTGGAGGTAATATCTGCTAAGAGAGCAGCAACACGATGACAACTAGGTGTCTCCTCTTTCTCTAGTTGCTCAATTCCTCCCCACAGTCCCCCCTCTGCCTGTTGGAGACACCAGTAGCTTTTTTCTAGGGCCTCCCTTAGTCGAGGAGACAGTAGATTTTTGGGTATAGGAGGTAGTCCTGGGGGCCCCCCCCCAGTAGGGGGCCCTATGGAAGGGAGGGGGTTGGGGGGCCCCCCAGGGGGCCCCCATGAGGCTCCCACCTCTCCTGACGTTAAAGAAGCCTGAGGAGGACCCGCGCTATCCAATAAATGACGCAAGAGACGGCTTATAAAGCGCAGGGATCTTAATATATTACTTGCTGCTGCTGTGCTGCAGGGGAGAGCAGCAGCAGAAAAACCTAGCTGCTGCTGCAGCACGAAAGATATTGCTTCAGGCCATTGCCAGGGAGGGGGCCCATCTAGGACACCATCCTCATGGGGCCCCTCTGAGGTACGCTCAGGATGACCTCCCTTCATACCCCCTAGGGGCCCCGGGAAGGGGGGCCCCTCTAGAGGACCCTGTCGGGGGGCCCCTGAAACTGCACCGTCAGGACCCATAGGGGCCCCCTGAGACAGAAAATCTGACGAAAACATATTAACTGTACCCTAATGAGCTATTTGCAAACGTAGGAAGGCGGGGCCCCCCTTGAAGTCCTTAAGGAAAGCAACAGGGGCCCCCTGCTTGTCTACTGGGAGCTGGCGGCATCCGCTGCAGCAGCAGCGGCAGCAGCAGCAGCAACAGCAGCCGCTACTGCTCACACAACTGGGAATAAATCAACGTATTAATTTAATGGCGAAGGCCTGCAGCAGCAACAACAGCAGCGCCAGCAGCAGCAGCAGCAACTGCAACAACTGCAACAACAGCTGCTATAGCAGCCGACGCTCCGTTGGGGGCCCCCAAGCCCTGTCTGTACCCTACATAGGGGGCCCCCCTTTTGTTTATAAGTATATTATATACATTAAAAATATGTAAATATATTTAATTAAGCATATAATAGATAGTTACTGCAGCAGCTGCAGCCGCCATTGCCCCTTGCTGCTGCTGCCGCCGCTGCCGCCACTGCAACTGCAGTTGCACGAGGAGCCCTCGCTGCTGTTGCTGCTGCTGTTGCTGTTGCTGCTGCTGCTCTGCTGGTGCTGTGTCTGCTGCTGCTGCTGGTGCTGCTGTTTAGGTGTCATCTAATGTAGTAGATGCATAAGAGCATAGGACAGGAGACAGGCCGTGCACTACCCCCCCTTTATAGGTTACCCTATATAGATCTAATGGGGGGCCCCTTAAGGGCGGTGCTGCAGCAGCAGCAGCAGCAACAGCAGCAGCAGCGTCCCTCCCTGCCGTTGTTGCTGCTGCTGTTGCTGCTGCTGCTTCTGCCTGCTATTACCTACGCATTAGACGAAGAAACACGACGTAGACTGCAGCGCAGCAGAGCAACAAATGTGCTGTTTGTAGACACAATAGTTGCTGCTGCTGAATGGAGACACTATTCTTTCCCTATATATATTGATAGACCAGGTGTCTTATTGGGGCCCCCTAGGGGCCCCCCCCAGGGGCCCACACCTAGTTCACCAGCTGGACTGCTGCAGCAGCAAGTATTTGTTGCAGTACGTGGTCTTGACCCCACAGGTTTCTGGTATAAGTTGACGAGTCCGTGTGGGGTGTTGGAGGAGACGATCCCAGTTGGGGAGGAGACGATCCCAGGTGGTGGGGAGGAGACGATCCCAGGTATTGAGGAGGAGACGATCCCCAATAAAGAGGAACTAGTCTCCTTATTAGTTACATCTAGCTTCTCTATAACTGATGGTATAGAGCGTAAGGTATGGAGGGCCCGCATAGTGTCTCCTAAGGAGACAGATCCTTATAGGAGGGAGAAGCAGCAGCAGGGGCCCCTAGGGTTTGCTGTGCTGCAGCAGCAGAGGAGAACTTTCTTACAAATTATTTATTTAGATAATTTATTTCCTCATAGATTGTCTCCTTTTAGGGATACACCTAAGGAGACACCTCAATCCTCTTCTTATAATAATACATTAAATACCCAGCAGCAGCAGCAGCAGCAGCAGCAGCAGCAGCAGAACAAGCAGCAGCAGCAGAAGAAGAAGAGTGTATATAGAGGGTATGAGCGATTCTCTCCGTTTGGAGACTTAGGGTATAAAACTGTCTCCTTTTCTTTGCTGCAGCAGCAGCAGCAGCAGCAGCAGCGGCAGCAGCAGCAGCAGCTACCAGGGTCTCCTTTCTTTTTTTATCTAGATATACTGCCTAAGGAGATAACACAACTAAAGGGACACCAAGTTGCTGCAGGCAGGGCCCCTGTCTCCTATAATAGTCCCCTTGTTGTTGTATGGTTACCCCCTAGTACATTTACGGGGCCCCCCCAGGTGTACGTACAGCTGAGATCTAATGGGGCCCCCGCCTTAGGTATAACAAGACTTATAGAGGTAACTAAGAATAATTTTGCTGTGTATATACACCCCAATCACTGCAGCAGCAGCAGCAGCAGCAGCAGCAGCACAACAGAGAGTATCACCAATCATCCATTCGATGAACTCGATTGGATGGCATGGATGCCCATCTTCTAAATCTGCAGCAGCAGCAACAGCAGCAGCAACAGCAGCAGCAGCAGCAGCAGCAGCAGCAGTAGCAACAGTAGCAGCAGCACTGACTGGCAGGAAAGACTTCTCTAGCCATTGTGCAGCAGCAGCAGCAGCAGCAGCAGCAACGCCAACAGCAGTAACAGCTGCACAACCAACTACAGCAGCAGCAGCAGGTGCTGCTGCTACAGCAGCAACAGCACCGTGCTGCAGCAGCAACACCGCCGGACTGCAGCAACAATTGTCTCCCGTTTCTCAGCTGCATTGCAGCAGCAAGCAGCATGCTGTTGCTGCTGCTGCAGCAAGCAGGAACGTACTGCAGCAGCAGCAGCAGCAGCAGCAGCAGCAGCTGACATTTGAATAGAATATATCCCTCGTTACTTTTATAAGTTTTGTTTATTAGTTGTATATTAACAAGAAGTGCTGCTGCTACTGTTGCTACTTCTGCTGCTGCTGCTGTTGTTGCTGCTTCTGCTGCTGCTGGTGTTGCTGCTGCTGCCGATACTGTAGGGAAGGAAGTGTCTCCTTTTATTGTCTCCTCCTACTAAATTAGCTACATTCGTATCTGTCTCCTTTTTATCTATCTGTCCCCTTTCTCTCTGTCTGTCTCCTTTCTAGGTGTCTCCTTATTATCTGTCTCCTTTTTACCTGTCTCCTTTTTACCTGTCTCCTTTTTATCTATCTGTCTCCTTTCTAGGTGTCTCCTTTTTATCTGTCTCCTTTTTACCTGTCTCCTTTTTATCTATCTGTCTCCTTTCTAGGTGTCTCCTTTTTATCTGTCTCCTTTTTATCTGTCCCCTTTTTATCTGTCTCCTTTTTATCTATCTGTCTCCTTTCTAGGTGTCTCCTTTCTAGGTGTCTCCTTTTTATCTGTCTCCTTTTTATCTGTCTCCTTTTTATCTGTCTCTGTATGTTTTTTTTATTGTTTTATTAATTATTTTTTTTATTTATATTTTTGTTTATTAGTGGTGTATATACACCGCAACAGTATACTGCAGCAGCAGTACTGCTGCTGCTGCTGCTGCTGCTGCTGTCTCCCTTTGCTTCCTTGAGGACAGCTAAGGAGACACAAGCGGTGTCTCCTTCTACCTGTATCTGTCCCCTTTTACCCCGTGTCTCCTCATATGCTGCCTGCTGCTGCTGCTGCTGCTGCTATTGCTGCTGCTGCTGCTGCTGCTATTGCTGCTGCTGCTGCTGCTTTAAGCAGCAGCACAAACAAAACCGAGCCAGCAACGGAGACAGCTACACATCAACTGTCTCCATAGCTAGCTACTAACTACTAGCTGCCCCGCTGATGGTGCTGCTGCTGCTGGTGCTGCTGCTGGTGCTGCTGCTTCCCCTTAAAGGCAATATGCCCGTTGCGTCGCGAAGGCCTTGTTAGGGCCCACCGAGTAATACAATCGTACACAAACCTGCAGCAGCAGCAGCAGCAGCAGCAACAGCAGCAGCAGCAGCAGCAGCAGCAGCAAGAGCATGAGGTAGGCATATTTGTGTTGCAGATAAAGTGTCTCCTTCTATGTGTAGTCACTTCCTCTGTTGCCCCTGGCTCCTTTTTGTATGTATCTCTACTATTGTGTCTCCTATCTCCCCTCCCCTGTCTCCTGTCTCCTGTCCCCTGCCTCCTGTCCCCTTTCCCCTGTCTCTTGTCTCCTCCTGTCTCCTTTAGTATATATAAAGTAACGAACTTGGGGGTAACAAGAGATGCATGCTTTTGTCCATGAGTAGCAGCAACTACGTCTTCGTTACGATTGGATAAACGCCTAAGAAAAGGAGACAGGAGACAGGAGACAGGGGATAGGAGACAGGGGATAGGAGACAGGGGATAGGAGACAGGGGATAGGAGACAGGAGACAAGGGATAGGAGATAGGGGACAGGATATAAGAGATAGGAGACAGGAGATAGGAGAAAGGGGACAGGAGATAGAGGGAAGGAAGAAGGAGATAGGAGACATAGGAGGCTAAAAAAAAAGGAGACAGTCTACGTGTAGGAGAAAGTATATATAGAGGAGACATTAAATAAAAGGAGACACATAAAAAAAAGGAGACAGATAAAAAAGAAGAGACAATAAGAAAAAAAGGAGACAGTTAAAAAAGAAGAGACAATAAGAAAAAAAGGAAACACTTAGAAAAAGGACACCTACAAAAAAGGAGACAGCAAAAAAAAAGGAGACAATTAAAAAAAAGGAGACACTTAAAAAAGGCGACAGAAAAAAAAGCGGACAGTAAGGAAAAAGGAGACAGTAAGAAAAAAAGGAGACAGTAAAAAAAACAGAAAAAAGGAGAAAAAAAGGAGACAGTAAAAAAAACGGACAGTAAAAAAAAAAGAAAAAAGGAGAAAAAAAGGAGACAGTAAAAAAAAAGGAGACAAAAAAAGGAGGCAGTAGAAAAAAAGGAGACAAAAAAAGGAGAGTAAAAAAAAGGAAAAAAGGAGACAAAAAAGGAGACAGTAAGAAAAAAGGAGACAAAAAAAGGAGACAGTAAAAAAAAAAGAAAAAAAGGAGAGAGTGTATACTTTTTGAGTTGTATAGCCTCTGGTAGTAATTCGTTACAAATGACGACATAATCAGCATTGTCTCCTTTTCCTAATAAGACACCATTGCCAACCTTTACTAGCATACTGCAGCAAATAAATATATATATATACACACATATATTTATTTATTTATTTATTTATATTTATTTATATTACAGCAGCAGCAGCAACTGCAGCAGCAGCAGTACTAGTAGTAGTAGTAGTAGCAGCAGGAAGAATAGCACTGGCGAACGCAACAGCGATGACGTTGACGGCAGGGGTTCCTCTGCAGCAACAGCAGCAGCAACAGCAGCAGCAGCAGCAGCAGCAGCAGCAGCAGCAGCAGTAGCTGACCGTATAAGATCAGCTTCTTTAGATTGTCCACAGACATAGAATTCATGACCAGCAAAGAGACGAGCCTCCGCTAACTCTTGACGCATTACTAACGAAGGAATTCCTCCTTCTGTATACTCCTCTCTGCAGCAGCAGCAGCAACAGCAGCAGCAGCAGCAGCAGCAGCAGCTCACTGTTCTAGTACTTTATTAAGTTGGTACTCCATAGAAGTATGTGGTTGTGGCCAAACAGCAACAGCAACAACCACCACCCCCACCATCAGCAGCACCACCATCACCACCACCACCACCACCACCACCACCAACAGCAGCAACAGCAGCAGCAGCAGCAGCAGCAGCAGCAGGAGCAGCAGCAGGAACTAACTGTTCTAGTACTTTATTAAGTTGGTACTCTATGGAGGTATGTGATTGTGGCGAAACTATAACCACCACCAGCATCACCACAACCATCACCAGCAGCACAAACAGCAGCAGCAGCACCACCACCACCACCAGCAGCAGCAGCAGCAGCAGCAACAGCAGCAGCAGCAACAAGAACTCACTGTTCTAGTACTTTATTAAGTTGGTACTCCATGGAGGTATGTGGTTGTGGCCAAACTTTAAAGTTACGAATTATAAAATCAATTGCTCCTTCTCTTAATATATATACCTCCCCTAATAAACTACATAAAAACTGCAGCAGCAGCAGCAGCAGCAGCAGCAGCAGCAGCAGCAGTAGTAGTAATAACAACAGCAGCAAAAGGTGGAGCAGGAGGAGGAGGAGGATGTGTAACACGAACAACAGCAGCAGCAACAGGAATAATAGTCATGCAATAACAGGAATAACACAAGAACGAATGGCAATAACAGCAGCAGCAGCAGCAGCAGCAGCAGCAGCAACAGCAGCAGAATAAATAAATAAATAAATAGATTAATTAATTAATTAACTATTTATTTATAAATATTAATTAATTAATTAATTAATTACCTTAGGTTGTTGTATAAGCTTTTTATGGTCACATTTATTGGGTACAACTAAGAAGCATACGCCGTCCCATTCCTCTGCATGCAGGGGGGCCCCCACCAATTGGGGGCCCCCTGTACCCACCCCTACAGGACTTAATAAACCTTTACTTGTTGTACCCACACAAGAACCACTTACGCGCCTATAATATACATATACATACATAGTACATAAACCCTAAACCCTAAACCCTAAACCCTAGTAAACCCTAAACCCTAGTAAACCGTAAACCTAGATGCAGAGGGAGAAGGGGACAGAGATATAAAAGGAGACAGAAGGAGACAGGAGAGAGACACAAAAGGAGACACAAAGAGGAGACAAAAAGGAGACACTATTTGTCTCCTTTTTCTTACTCTTGTAGTTCTCTTATCTTGGATTCAATTCTTGCTGTCTCTGCTGCAGATACACCGCAGCCTAGGAAGGTAATTGCTGCTACCTCTTCCTGCTGCTGCTGCTGCTGCTGCTGCAGTTGCTGGTATCTCCTGCCTACGCCACCTTTGCTGCTACTGTACAAGGCAGGACCGTCGCTGCTGTCGCTGCTGCTCTCCTCGTTGCTGCTGCACCTGCTGCTGCTCCTGCTGCTGCTGCTGCAGCGGCGACGGCGAGACAGCTGCTGCTGGTGCTCCCCTCTATGGATCCCCTTGGATCGTTTTCGTGTGTATGCTGACCTCCGCTTCCTGCTGCTGTCTCCTTCGCTGCTGCTGCTGCTGTTGCTGCTGCCGTTGCTGCTGGAGGTGGGGAGTCTCTGTCTCTTAAGTGCCCCTTCCCCCTTCTGCTGCACCTTCTGCTTCTGCTGCTTCTGCTTCTTCTGCTGCTGCTGCAGCAGCAGCAGCTCCTCTTGCTTCTCCAACTCCTGCTGCAGTGCTCGCAGCTTTGCTTCTTTCTCTTTAATCTGTGCATCAAGGTCAGACAGCAGAGCTTGCTGCTGCTGCTGCGGCTGCTGTTGCTCCTGCTGCTTCTGCTGCTGCTCGTGCTGCTCTTTCTTGAGCTTTGAGCTTCCATGATGAACAGTAGCTGACGCGTGCTGCTGCTCCTTCTTGGGTTGCCGTTGCTGCTGCTGCT